GAAAAAAAATTCCGGATCTATATTCTGCCGCCCGAAATGGTCGCACCGGACACTCCGGTTCTGCCGCTGGCCTTGATAAATTTGGATTACTACTGCTTACGTAGATTAGAGTCAATTTCTCTGTTATTAGTTTCCCAAATTCATTCAGAATATATTAATTCAACAAAGGTGCTAGTTGATTAAATAGTACTAGAAATTATAGCATGCAGATAGAGCACACTTCTGGTTATTATATTTTGCAAAAGGTAATCCTGAATAGTTCATGATAAATTAATTTGTATCAAGAAAACCTTACGGTCTTTAAGTTCATGCAATAAGTAGAAATTTGAAGAAGCAAAAGAAAAAAAAATCGATCAATAAAAGTATTGAATATTGAAATCTAGATTATTTTCTTCAGTAATAATCACTTCTTCACTTTCGTTATATACATCTATTGTGAAGATGCAGATAACGTGAAGGTATATTAGAGGCATTATCCTCTAAAATCTAAAACATTAACTGATTTTTCTGTAAAACGCATGCATCGCATTAAAAAAATTACTAAAATTTTGCTCCCTTTTCTTATAAAAATTTTAATTTTCTTCTCCAACTTTATTTTTTACTATGTATTTAAAATACCAGACTTTTTACCTATCCAAAGCATAGCGACGGACATAATTAGCAATCCACAACTCTCCGGATTAACGCCGGACGCCTGGTAACTCTAACTATAAATTCGATATTCAACCAGAAAAGCATACGCTGATTGGCCTACTAATCACGTTGTGAACTTCGATTGTGGTGGCCAGTTCCCGCCTTTCTATATACATTTTAAATTCGTCATTCGACTTAATTTTCACAGTTCAAATTTTCGGCTTTCGAACAGAAACACTGAAATTAATAGAGAACTTTGGTTTTTAAACAAAAGAGAGAGAGAGTGCGTCATTTTCATTAGTAAATCGGAGGGAAATAAACATTAGTTCTATGGGATAATGTTTTACACCCACATTCATAAACGCTCTGAACCAACCAGTTTACGGTTGTGTTTTTCCAAAATTATTTCTAAATTTATGCAAATCCTTTTTTTAGCCCAAAGGGCTTTAGCCCAGAAGGACTATTAATTTAGGTTAGGCATTTTGCGTTGGTTCAATATAAAAGTATGAATCACTTTTCAAATTATTGCCACCAAATATTACAGACCTGCATTATATTTAAAGAAATTAAATAATGAAGAATCAGCATGAATGTGTGTATGTTAAGACACAGTAACACGCCGAACAAATACTAATTCAGAACTAAAACAACAAAAATCAGCTTATATTTTCAAAATTTTCACAGGACTAGTTTCGATGGTTTTACCGAACCACCATCCTCAGCTGCAAAACCGCAAAGGAACAAGATAGGAAATAATGATAAGATTAGAAAGCCTTCACAAGAATAAGCAAGTGACGCCATCTGCTGGTGAATAGCCATGGAAAGCCCCCACAGTCCATGCAATCCATGGCTGATATCTACATGCATTATTATGAATCAAAATTGTTTGAAACTTTAATGGTATTGTTCCGCTACGTAGACGATACTTTTACCCTGTGTGAAGGTAATAAAGATGATTTAAATAAAGTTCTTTCAACAATGAATTCTATTGATCCTACTATTCAGTTCACTTTTAAACTTGAGACTTGCAACGCTCTTCCGTTTCTCGACATTCTGGTCACACGTAACACATCCAACTTCAGTACTACGGTTTACCGTAAACCATCATCGGTTTGCCTTCCACCCCCCCTTTAAATCATGTCATCCGACTAAACAAAAGTTAGCTTCATTTCATTCCTATGTTTTCTGTGCTCTTCAAGTTTGCTCCTTCAAACTAGCCCTTGATGAAGAACTAAATTATTTAAAAGCAATAGCTATTGACAGGGGCTTTTCACCCAACATTATTAATCAAGCAGTTAAAAAATTCTCATCTCAACACACTAAAAGCCACACTCTTATTTTAGGAGATTATAAAAATTCTGTTGTCATTTCTTTCTTTAAATCAATTAGCTATAAAGTTGCACATATTTTGAAAAAATTTAACTTAATTTTAAATTTAAATTCTCCCATCAATAAAATTCCGAGTTCCATACTCAAGGACCCCATTCCGGATATGAATTCCTGGGGTATTTATAGGATTCCTTGCCAGTGTGGTTTAATTTACATTGGCCAAACTAAGAGAGTGTTAAAATTTCGCGTCGAGGAACATGAGGCATATGTTAGAAAAAAGAAAACACAGAAGTCTTCTGTTGCTCAACATTGTTTGTCCGAAAATCATACTTTCAATTTTCTGCTGCCAAATTTATTCAAAAAACATCTTCCATTGGAGAACTGGATTTTCTAGAGGCACTTCATATTCAAAAAAATCTTTCTGTTCTAGTTAACGACCCTAATTCCAATCCATCTTTGCCTTCGGCCTTTAAAGAAATTATGTTTTAGTTCTGGTTTCACCAACAGATGGCGCCACTTGCTTATTCTTGTCCAGGCCTTTCTTATCTAATCATTATTTCCTATCTTGTTCATTTGCGGTTTTGAAGCTGAGGATGGTGGTTCGGTAAAACCATCGAAACTAGTCCTGTGAAAATTTTGAAATTATAACGCTGATTTTTGTTGTTTGTCTTCTGAATTAGTGTAAATGTTTCTCGCATTTGGAAAAACAACGGTAACTAGACACATCAAATTTTGAATAACGTAGTCCTCCACTCGAATACGGGCATCCGGAAGTCCAAATTTGAATTTGTTTTATTATCTATTTCATACTTTGTAAAACTTAAACGAATTTTTGATTAACAAACTCAGTGATTTTAAAGCATTCCATTAACATTAACATCGCTTGCATCAAGCATGGATATTTTATGCGCGAGGTTTCTTTACATTTCTTACTGGTATTATGTTGGTAGCGTAGCAATCCAAAGACGATGTGTAAAGGTATTTTGCTCGAATGACTTTGAATGTCTGTATAACTTTTCAAATCCAGTTTTGAATCCCCCGTGAAAAAAAACACCCCTATGGGTGTAATATAAAAATCTGAGAGCTTTCAGATTTTATTTAATCTCCCCCTGAAGGAGAGGGTTTGTGCCTATTGTGCCTCATCGCCTTTGAAATCGGCAGTATTTTTTATACAAAAATTTACGCCAGCTGGAGTTAATTTTCTTTTACCCTAATTTTAATTTATAATTCGCGTATTTTTTTTCCATTTGAAATTCTGAACCAGCCTTTGTATAAATAAACAGTTCATAAATTGAGTTTCTTAAAATCGCGAGTTTGAGTCATTTCAATAATTATTTAAAGAAATCTTTAAAAATACAGAAGCAATGAAGCCTGGTCATTCAATTTCATACTTGCCTTCGCTTTATACAGTTTACTTATTAACTACTGTTTTGAAATCCGAACCGAGTAAATACTGTAAATTTTGTTAATCCTAATTTTTGGCAATTACTGTTGATAAACTTGTTTGTTCGGATTCATCAGTCTAATTTCATGCTTTATTAAATTTTAATTTAATTTTTTTGTTCTTTAAATCTTTTCCATATTGAAGTATATTGGGCAATAAGCAAACACGAATTGGGATTAAAATTAGTGCATATACGTCTGTTTTCAGGTACAGAGGTCTGTATATCTCTCGTTCTACCGGGCCGTTTGACGAAATTCAGCTTTCTGTTTTCATGTCTCGAAAGCTCGACTTAGGCTATATATATTACATTTATATATAGGATTATTCTAATATAGGTATTTTGACACGAAATCGGACTCTTTTTGAAATGACGACTCAATTTATGCCAAACTGCCAAGTTTTGTAGAAATCGCACAAGTAGTTTTTAAAACATTAGCTCTCAAAATCTTAGCTTCTCAATGTTAATTGAATTTGATATATATTTATTAATATAGCTTCTTTTTGTAAACTTAATTGATTCCTTCTTCCAGAATTTGAAATTTAGGTTGATTACAAATGAAATTCGCCCAATTTTATGATTATTTTTAAATAATTTTTATACATTTTTCAAAAAATATTTTGTTTTATAACATTGTAGAGACATTAGGTATTTTTATATCCAGATTTTACAAATATGCCAGTAGAACGGGAGATACAGAACTGTCCGCCCCCCTTTTTTTTTGCTCAATGTACATATTCCATTGCACAGCTCATCTAAAATTATTAAAATTCACACGAAATGTATACATTAGAAAAAAGTCGATGGTTAACTTTGTTACAAGTATAAAATAAACTGCATAGAAACTACACTGATACAGAGAGTGACGTTTTGAGAAATTACATGCATCATGGTTTGATTTTTGCGATATTCTAAAAAATCAGCTGCCTAATTTTTACTTTCTTTATCTTACTATTTATTCCTTTATTTTGAGCTTAAAGGACAAAGCGAAAATGCAGTTACAGCCATGAATTAAAAATCATCAAATCAAACAACGCTTCAGAGATTTCGGAGAACGTTCGTGATTTCAATGAAACACATCGAATTTAAAATTCTTCTACATGGTCTTTTTTCTTCAGAAGCTAATTATTCCGCTCTGTTGCAGAACAAATTTACACATAAATAAGGCAAACGGAACTGCTTATTTTAGGGAATACGATGAGATTTTTTTCTTTGAAATTAACACGAAATAAAAACTAAAATTTGTCAGTTATTAAGAATAACTGAATTATTTCTTACTTCCTCGAAATTACAAAACTTCTTAAAAATGTAGAAGGTTTCATAAACATAACCTTTGAAATGATTCGATAGCGATTATCGCATTGTAGATGACAGCATCTTTCACTTAGGATGCTTTTCTCTTATTTCTAAACGAACCCAATGTTAGGAATTTAACCCATCGAAACCCCCTCAGTATAAACGCTTGCGTCATCAGTGTATCTATGTAATCTTAAGAATCTTTTCCCCCTTTTTCTCTCATTTTTTGTAAATATTTTGAACGTAGGAAAATCCATATTGGGAAATGGTAAAAATAAAAATAAAATAACTTGTAAAAACATCTTCCGTTTAAAGAACGTTATCAATAGCGTACAATCTTGATGTTATGGCATGCCTTTTATACAGAGAACTTAATACTGTAGGCCTAAAGTTCCCGTTTGGCAAGCACTCAGTTCATCGTGAAGATCACTGGTAGAAGTTGAATTCGACAGGAAGGATGCGATAGTATGTGTTGTGGTCGCATTTTAACGTGAAATTCATCAATTTGTGAAAGCTTATAGAAGAAAGATCTGTTTGTTTTGGGGAAAAAAAAAAAAAAAAAGAATATGTCTGCAGTTTTTTCTTTTTGGTCCAAACAAACGGCAAGTCAAGTGATTTGCAGTATTAAGGCAAGAAGATTTTAAATATACAAAGGAAGAATCAACTATTGTAATCAACTATTGCTGATTTTCACCATTCATTGCTATGTGGGCAAGATGTTTATGACAGTCTTTTAAATTTTAGTTTGACATGTATTATCGAATATTTATATCATTTTATGTATGACGGATTACTTATGCAGTTCTTGAAGCTCGTATTTGAATTTCCAGTAGAAGAGATCTACCATTTTGGATAGCAAGTTGTACCAAAGAATACAGTTACTTTGTCAATTACTTTGCAACAGAGCTTAACAAACCTTGAATATAACGTATTGATTTTATTCTAGAAGTCAAAGGATATGCTATTTTGCGTAATGAATAAATTACACATAATTTTCTGAAAAACTTTATTCTTTGACCTCTTCTTGGTACAACAAAGAGCATTTTGAATTTTTGATATCATCGACATCAACTTGCGAAAACATCTGATTTTTTACTGGCTTTATTCTCGTTGAGAAAATTAATTTCTCAGAACTTCTATAAATCAAATAACATGTGTTATACAAATATAATAACACAAACATAAAATAATTTCTCAAGATTTATGTGAAAGAAATACTATATGTTATGGGACTAAAATTATTTATCCTACTGAAGCGAAGAAAATTTGTTTTAGAAATAGACTACGTGCCTAGATCAATAGCTTTACTGCTTTTCTCTGAAGTTGCAAAATTGAAAACGTATTGATTTAGTACTGTACTAAAAATTTCATAATTTCTGTATGAATATTTTAGTCAAATAGTCTGTGAACTATATTTGACCTTTGTCAGAAAATTGCCCGTGCTCCCAGTTTCATATCAAACATTTGTGAGTGTGAAGTTAATTCCTTCAGGAACTGTTTCAAATATCTCTTAGAATGCATTGCTGAAAGGAATTTAAATATTCAAAATATTGCGCGACTCCCTCATCTACACCTTATAAAATGAATTATTTCCCTGTTCTTCTTTTCGCAGCAGTTTTCATTAACTATCAGCTACAAGCACAAGTAAGTGTATTAAAAAACTTAAATTTTAAAGGAATAATTTATTTATAATATCAGCTCGATAGAAACATTTATATTTGCAATATATATAGCAAAGAATTCATTTAAAAATGTATACTAGATTTCTTAAATTAAATGATATTTTTCTCCAACCGGAAATAAGTAATATAAGAATTCAAGCATAATAACTAGCTAACTAATTTATGTTTTATTTTGAAGGAAACGTTTTTAAAGTACTTATTATTTACGGTTTGAGAATTTATTTGGCAAAATTGAAAATATTATCTTCTTTGACATTTCTTTCAAACTTTACATTCAAGCAATCTAATGAAATAAATATATAGCTACTACTTGAATAATTAAGTTTTCATTTACTAAATAAATGCAAGCCTCCATGTGGCATTAATTTACTCAAAACATAATATTATAGTCTTTTTTCCTATTATTTGGCTTTATCGTTTTGAATATTTTATTATAAATATAAGACCATTTACTTCGTATCTTTAATTTATGGGGGCCTAATTGTTATATGAGTAAGTATATCATAACTTTTCAGTTTAAAATTATTTCAGATGTTAAACTGAAATTTGCAGAGCAAGGTCAAATTATAATTTATTTTTAATTTTATAATTCTTGTATTCTTTAATTTTTTGCCCAAAGGGACAATTTGTCCAGAAGGGCTACTATTATTTTGGTACTTTGCGTCGTCCACTATAAAACGGCGTTTCACTTTTCAGATTGTCGCCACCAAATATTAAAGCCCTGCTGTATGTATGTTTCTCGCATTGTGAAAACCCAACGGTACCTACAAATGAAATTTTGAATAACGTAGTCCTCCACTCGAATATGGGCATCTGGAAGCCCAAATTTGGAATTTGTTTTATTATCTATTTCATATATTGTAAAACTTTAACGAATTTTGATAAACAAACTCAACAATTTCAAAGTACGCGATGGCAACACTGCACGAGAAAAAAACATTTTTATATCAGCTCTCGAAACTGTGTATTGGGAATTCTAACGATGTGCTCTTTTTAAATATTTTGTGATATTGCTGTTAAATTGAATTTCATGGTTTATGTGCGAACATAGAGATGACACACAAAATTTAAAAAACGCCCCTTTGGGCGTAATATAAAATCTGAAAGCTTTCAGATTTTTTTAATCGTATGATATTTATATTTTTAATTAAAAAAATTATTGGAACTTAATAATAAATTCGTCAAATTTTAGCCTGCAGTCAGAAATTTCCAAATAGCAGAAATGAAAGGTTTTAAATTGAAATGGTTTTCAGATATTATGAAAAAAATATTTCTAAATTGTTTAATTACATAGCTGACTGAATTTCAGATAATATAAACTATGGTTAAGCAGATTAATTTTCCTCAAAATAGGCTGATCAACGGCCAATTGGTGAAGTCGTCGAACAGTGGTAATTTGACCCGGTTGAAATTCTGACGAAGGGGTGACTGAATGAACGACTTCGTGGCTTTCCTCGTGTACAATGTGGATACAATCCGATTTCTCTTAGAAAGTCCTTGACGACAGTATACTTGCTCTTAAGCAGATAGCACTTGCAAGTTTTTGTCATAATCAAACAAAACAATTTCCCCAAAAGTAATATTTTTGTTCCAAGTGCTGTTAATAAGAAATTTAGGAAAATTAAAACAGTTTTCAAATTAATTTAGATATACATATGATATTTAAGAAAGTTTGATAGGAAATAAATAAAGAATTTATTTTTAAAATTTGATCTAAACTTCTCAAATTAAATGCAGTTCTTTTCTACAAAGAGAAATACTTATTATAAAAATGCAAACGTATTTTTTAATACAACCTTGTTTATGGAGATGTGTTAGCAACTATAAGGATGTATATATTTATATGAAGATTATATTTAGCATTTTTTGCTTAAAATATTTACATGAATAGCAGAATTTTTATTTGATATAATAGTCTGAGTAAGAGTTGTTAAATGTAATTTAAAGACATAAACCTTTTGCTGTTTGACGTTCATTTTGCCACAAATTATTACTCAAAATTTAATTTTGATAGCTTTCAGCATGCTCTTTAATTATGATTAAAATTATGTTATTATTTAAAATGTCTATATGTTTAACAATGGAAATAAGAAATTTGTTTTTCCCGTCTACGAGGACGTGCAGATAGTTTTAGACTGCGATACCTTGAAAAGCTATTTAGGTTTATAGATGTAAAATTAACATTCAGACTTAAAAATAAATAATTTTCAAAATTATACTCGTATTAAGCATAATATATAACAATTAAAATGCTCAGTATTAAGAGACTAAGCTGCAGATTAATTACTAACTCCAGAAGATGAGACGCCGTTTATATGTCTTGATATTGCTTTATATTTCTTGTTATTATCAGCAAACAATAGCCGAGTTTGTTGATTGATTATTTTAAGGCGTGTGTATGAGGTTGTCGCTGAACACCGGTAGTTCGGTCCGAGGTTCGAATCCCGCAAACGGGCTGGCTGCATGGGTGTTTTCATGGTTTTCCCCATGTGTAACGTGTATACGAGACAGTTTCCCTTAAAACGTCCTCCAGAAAGCATCCCTCCCTTAAGGCAGATAGCCCTCGAGTGCTTTGCCATAATCTAATAAACCAAACTGTATGAGGTTAAAGTTGATTACCTTTTAAACAGCAGTTGTTTAACCTTCCAGTGCTTATACGAATATTCATCTTCGCATTTATTAAAAGACCGAACCCCAAGAACACAGACAGGAAGTAAAATTACAAATATTTTACTAACTGGTTTATTAAAATGTAGTATAATTTAAGTTTAACAAGACCTAACCACCATTATCTGTGGGTTTCAGAAATCCAAATATTTAAATACGTACAATATAATTTTCAACGCTTCACTAACCTGACTCCACCTACCATGGCATTTAGCTCTGTGTTAAAAAATACAAAAATTCACTCACCATCGGCACACTGGCAAAGGACTCAGTAAATAAACTGCTTTCTATTGTTCCCACAGCTGTCTTTTTAAACCATTAATTCGCTTGCGATTTAAAGCTCAATCTAATTCGTATTCTGGAGGCGATCAATGGAAGATGTCTAAGATCAATGGAAGAAATAGAAGTTACAGGGAAGAACTGATATAAAAATAAAGCTTAAGCTTAATAAACCTTACATCTTCATTCTTATATCATTTTTAATATCATAAAAGGAATCTAATTAATTAATAGTAATAATAATAGCATTTAATTTAGAAATGTAATGCAATAAAACTACCTTAAGACCTCCTCCTACGGTTCCAGAAGATTTTTACTTCTGTCGAGGGGGTCACCTCAGAGAGCAGACACTGAAATACTGTTACTTAGCGAAGTTCTTAGTAATGCTGGTCACGTTCAGAAACAGTCATTTTAGTTTTCTCTTTCATTTTCTAGAAAGTTCTTTTTAACTTCGGGTTCTTAAGGATGTATAAAAAATAAGAAAAGGGAATTAACCATAAAATTGAGGTATATTTTATTTCTGACTTTCAAATATTTCAATGCAAATGCTCATTTAGCATCAAAATAAAATTTGTTATCAAAAATAACATTCAAATCGTAAAAATGACTTTGCTTTCAAATTTTGCTTTAATATTAAACAGAAGCACATCTTCAAAAACAATTTTGCTATTAAACGGCTAAAAAATTAAGCATTTTATTGATTTCGTAATTACTTGTTCTGTTTTATTGAGCAAGCGATCCACTCTGAAACGAATAAAATTTACTGAAGCTAATAAAATTTGTTTTGAGCCAGGCACACGAATTACCTGTAGCAATCTTTACAGCTGTTTTAATGGAAATAATTTGATGAGCAAAAATAAGGCACTAAGCACTATTCCAGAGTCATTTCCAATGAATATAATTTAAAGAACATTTATAATGTATAGTTGTTCCTTTAAATGGCGCGTGAATGCCAAAACAGTCATTAGCGAAGTTTTAAACATATTTATTTCAAGAAATGCAAAATAAGTAGCTTTCTTTTGAATACATAAATCAGAAGAGAAAAACAAATGTTGTATGTTATATTATTTTCATAACCAGGTAATGATTTATATCAGGAGTATAAAAATTGCGAAGGAAAAAGATTAATTTGTCATTCTTAATCCCTTGTGTAAAATATCTCAACAATTTTGCTTTATAATCCTTAGAATTATGGGAATAGTTTTACCTCTGACATTTTCTTAGGATAATTGGCGATTACTTTACGAAGATTGTTCCTCATGAATATTCTGTTAACATAAAGGGTATTTGCTCTCACATAAATTAAATCTCGGTAATTGAAAACTATCAATAATGAAGTGACAAGGTTACAGTTATTTACTACGCAATTTTATATTTAGATTTCTCGGAATTAGGTAGTGCAACATAGAGATGAAGCTATAATAACAATAATACAGCTGAACTGTGGGGGATCCCTAGCATTTAACGAAGTTCGCAATGAGCGCACGCATAAGCTTTCACGCCTGAAAATTTATAAATTGCCTACTTTGACTTGAAGCCTTATATATCGCATAAACATTTGATTAACACTCACGTTTTTGCTACATAATATGCATTATATATTGTAGTGTTATTTTGTTTTAAGATATAGTAAAAAAAGTAATTAAGGGAAAAAAACCTGAAAGCTCTCAGATTATACATTTTTTGTAATATAAAATCTGAGAGCCTTAAAAAGGTTAAAAAAAAGGCGTCTTTTTAACCTTTTGTGTGTTACCTTTATTTATTAAATACCATGTTCTTCGCACTTGAACCATAAAATTCAGTTCAAAAGCTATATCGCAAAATAATTTTAAAATGAGCATATCTTTAAAATTTCCGATAGACAATCTGGCGCGCTGGAGATAAAAAATGTATTCCGCTCCGTACAGTATTGATATTGCTCGCTTTGAAATCGTTGAGTTTGTTAAGCAAAAATTCGTCCAGAAGCCCATATTCATGTGGAGGACTTCGTTATTCAAAATTTGATGTCTCTAGCTA